TCCGGGGCCAGGCCCCATGTCAGGCAGGAGGCGAGGCGAACAGAACAGCCTTGGGCCTCGGGTACCTGGAGTCAACAGTGGGCAGGACAGCAGTGGCCCCACACAGGTGGGGGTTGTGGGACACACCCAGGCGTCTCCACCTCCATCTCTGACCATGTCTGCGTCCACTGGACACCTACCACGTGCCAAGTGCCATGCTAATCACTGCATAAATTATCCCAGCCAGTCCTGAATGGCCCTAATGGTGGTTATGTCTATCCACAGATAGGGACCTTGAAGCTAGCCTAAGCTGTTCAGTCACACAGCCAGTGAGAGGCAGAACAAGGATTCAAACCTCAGTCAGACTTGGACTTTGCAGTCCCCACTCTTGGCCATCAGGCTGCAGCCTTGTTTCCATAGGGAGAGAAACCCAAGGCTGTGGGCACACAGAAGACGCTGTGTGGGCTTGACAGAGGGGTAGAAATCAACAAAGACTTCCTGGAGGAGGCCTCCATGGAGCTGGAGCTTGGGGTTTAGGGAAATCACCCTGGGGACAGTGAGATTCTTCTCACTGGAGAATGCAGGAGAATTGCAAAGTATGCTAGACGAATGCTAGAACCCGAGGAAGTTCTGGACTCAGAAGTGAGTTCAGTCCTGATTTTGCTTCCTGCTGGCTGTGTGACCTTGTATCAGCTACTTAACTTCTCTGCATTTCAATCGCCTCATCTGTCCCTGGGGACCTGACATGCTGTGGTGAGCCAGGCGCCCGTCAGGTCTCATTCCACGTGGCTCAAGTGTGAGGAGCCCACAGTGACATGGACGGCACGGTCACTCAGCCCTGGAGCTCTGCCCAGTCTCCATGAAGCCCGCCCCTCTCCACTTGGAGTCAAGATGGCACTCTACCCATCCCCAGGAAGGGAGTGAGACTCCCACATGCCAGCTTCCAATTTTCAATTCTGATTCAGCCAGTGAGGGGCCAAAGGCAGCGAGTTGAGTCTGATGCTGGCCACTTCATTTGCAAACCCTGCATGAGGTGGCTGTCCTCCTCCTCTGGGGTGAGGGCAGCCACTGACGTTGGTGGTCTTGGCCTCAGCCAACACAGAGAGCAGTGCCCAGGTGGGCCTTGCTCTCCAAATTGCACAGTCCAATCGATCCAGCAAGGATTTTTGCCATCCTGCTCCCCACGAGCTGAAACCTACAGCGGCAGCAAACAGCAGTGTCCTTCCCAGGTCAGCTCCCCATCTGCGCACACCCTCCAGATGCCAAGGGCCAGTGCACGGGGTAGCGAGGAGACCGCCCTTGGCTCAGGTTACCACGCTGCTCCTCGTGTGTGCAGCTCTGGGTAGGATGGGCGCAGGGCACAACCCACGCTGGCAGAGGAACCGGACATGAGAAGTGAACCACTCACGTTTTCAGGCCTGGCAATGACAGCACAGGGCCACAACCCAGTTCCCAGGGACTGTTCCCTGCCACACAGGGGCGCTCTGGCCGCAGAAGCAGTACAGTAAGCAGATTACGGCGCCGCCTTCCTGTCTGCATGGAGTTGACGAATGCTAGAGGCCAGGGAGGGCCGTTGGCATCCCACTCGGTCAGCGCTCTGGGGCACTGGGGCGCAGGGCTCCCGACCCCAGAATGTTAATGCAGGGAGCCCCTCCCCCCACGCAGCCGGCTGCCCAAACCCTTCCCTCGCATCCAACACAGAGCTGGGGCTGCCCTTGTAGGATTAATTAAGAGGACAAGTATCTTTCTAACATGCAGAAGACACTTGTACTGAATTTAAAGTGTGAAAAAAAAAAAAAAAAACCCTCATTTAAGCAACATGTTTTTCCCACCATCCCAAGCTGAGCACTGGGAAAAGGGTAAAAACATGCCTAATGGAGAAGTCTTTTAGACGAGCGGCCGAGAGAGGAACTGGCTGGGATGCACACACAGGGCTCTGTGCTCCTTGTCACCGGGGACCTCAGGGATGGGGTCTCTGCTCCTTGTTGGCAAGCAGAGCGGGGTGGGCGGCGGAGGCTGGGCGCTGCGAAGACCCTGGGCCTTTAGTTCCTAGATGAGCCTTTGCTTTGGGAAGCAGCAGAAACTGTACAGAGGTGCACACTGGTGAGCCTCAGCTCCATTTGACAGCTAGAGAGACCCCACATGGACCACCGAGCGCCGTGCCGTGCCTGGGGCACCTGCCCTCGCCCGGCTCCTCGGAGATGCAACCCCAGCAGACAGCTCCAGGGCCGGCACCGCCCTCAGCCACCGGCACACTGCAGGGAACACCGGCCCAGCGAGGGCCAGCTGCATGGCAAGATACGATTTAAGAGACTGCCCTCCCCCAGGCTCAGAACTGCGTCAACGCAACACACTTCTTGAGGGCAAACATACCCAGGCCCAACCTGCTTTGGCAGGCACCCAGCTGGAGTCGCCTGCAGACCCCAAGCTGCTTTGCACCCAAGGACGCTGCCGAAAAAGGGATTAGGAAACACAACTTCAAAGTTGCAACCCCTGCTGGCCCGTCAGCTCCGCTCTTGAAAATTAAATCCAAAATGTTGTTGCTGGAATGCACGAGGCACTACTTTGTGGGTTTTAGTGGGATTTTGTTAATGCCCATTGACTGCCGGGTAGTAAGTTACCTGTATGTCTCACTTCAGTGATCTGCTTAAAATGCACTGAACCAAAAATCTATTCCCAGAGCGACAGGAATCTCGAGGTCCCGTGACCGTGAACGCCACTGGTCCGCCTGCGCTCCGAGGGCCCGCGGGTCAAGCCTTTACGGCTGGGTCACCTCGCTTGTGGCTGCGTTACTGGCTGCATGTTTGCCTTCTATTGCAGATCTACTATTTGGGTTGGGCTGTGATGAATGGTTTGGCTCCCTGGTTCAAAACCAGTCCAAGGCGACGGCAGAATCTGATTTGCTTCAGGAATGATGAGTGTAAGGCTTTTCAAGTAATAATCCAGGAAGGAAGGGAGCCGACACCACACTGCTCAGCCTGAGACAAACGGCTGGAGGGGAGGGGCTTGTGCCCCTCCTCCAGAGCTGCGTAGGCTGATCCTGACCTTGATCGGGGCAGCAGGCAGGCCTCCTCCTGCACCGCAGCCTCCCCCGCCCCCAGGAATGCAGCTCATGCAGCAGAGGCAGCCGCAGGGCCAGGCACCAGGCTGGGGCCCAGCGGTGCTGCTCTCAGCTGAAGGAAGCCGCCACCGTGGGGCTAAGAGGAGCGGTGCCTGGAGATGCCCCCACCCCCAGGTCCAGCCATGGCCTCGGACTCTTCAGAAGGCTCCAGATTTTCCCTCCACAGCCTCTTTCGCACGGGGGTCTGAGCTCAGACAGTAATTGTGGGATGGATGGCCTAGAGCTGTCCCCAGCAAACTCGCCCTTCTCTCCTGACCCGGGGCGCTGCTGTCCCTGTAAAGGACCTGGCTGGTCTCTGGGACTGGAATCATCGGGGATCTCAGTCTGGGACAGCGGATGCAGGAGAGATGACGGGAAGTGGACATGGAAGACAGGTGTGAGGCTCTTGTCCAGCCACAGACAGGTCAACGCTTAACCACGGCCTCTCCGGAGAATGAAAGCAGGTGGCACGTGTGTGGTGTAGATGCCTATGAGTTCCCCCAAGGCCCACGTAGAGCCACCAACCATTCAGCTGCTGGCAACATTCCCGATGGTTTAACAGCCGGCGGTCCTGAGCCAGGGCTGGGGAGCTACCGCTACTCCCACACATGCCAACATGTTTAGAGACGTATTTCTGGGAATAAAACCCATGGCCCACAGAGCGAACACCTCCTGTCGCAGAAGTGCACAGTCACAAAGACAGATGGGAGGAGGAAGACGGGGGCCCTACAGGGTCAGAGCACATCAAGCCCAGGGCTGGGCTGCGGTCCCCGGTAGGAAGGCGGCTCCAGAGTGGGGAGGTCCCGGCCACGTCGCACTCAGGGACACTTCCCACGGGGAGGACCCACACTCATTTCTCTCTCCTGGGAACCCATGTCCCTCTTCTCCCTGCCTCCAGAGCCCTTCTGACCAGTGGATCCCGAGGCCTCCTTCTCAGGCCTGTGGGTACCGGGAGCAACAACAGCTCACAGACACAGACACGGAGCAGGCCCGCCTCGCTGGGCACTGAACACCAGGGGAAGGTGGGACCGAGGCAGGGGCTCACGCCCAGCTCCCCAGCGCCAGGGCCTGTGGCTGGGCATCCTGAGCCTGTGGGTCACATCCCGGCACAGACACAGGACATACCCATGACTGGCCCAGAGCGGTCTTAATGCCCTTGGAGGTAAAGGGGCTTCCTGGTTTTGGGGTCAAGGACGTCCCCTGCAGTGTCCAGGCAGGGTCTAGCCCCGCCCTTCCCTCTCATCACTGCAGGTCTGACTGGGCCGAGGGGGGAGGGGGCATGGCAGCACCTGCACATCTCCTTCAGGCCCTGCCCGAGCTCCACCCACGGTCAACGTAAGGTCACCACAGGGCAAGACACAGGTGCTCAGACACCCCATCCACACATGGCGCGCCAGGGGCTCCACACAGGGCCACTCGCGTGCTCACTCTGTTGGCACGAGAGTACCGACTTCCTGTGTCTCTCCAGGGCCCCCACCTCTTTTCATCTTGGACCCTCATTCCCTACTGTCCCTGGGAGGCTGCAGCTCCCTGCCCCAGCCTGGGCAAGTCTCCAGGCCCTAGGGCTCCCTGCTGGGGTCAGGCCACACACTGAGGACAGCCCCAAAGTCTGTTCCCTCCATGTGCAGATGCAGAACCCCCAAGGAGTCTGGCTGTGTCCCCAGCTCTGCTCCAGTCCCAGTCCTGGGTCCCTGAGTGAGAGAAACGTCCTCTCCAAGGAACAGGGCGAGTTCTGCTGGAGCCACCCCTTCTCCTTTCCTCTTTGTCTTACAGCTCGGCGCCTATGGCAAAAGAAACTCAACCGCCATCGCTCCCCAAAGAATCCAACCTGCGCAACACCCGAGGAGAGGACCCAGGCCCTGACACAACAGGTGCAGGAGCAGCCGTGTGGACAAGCCTCTCCCATGTGGGCTGAACTTACGGAAGGCCGTGAGGAACTCCCGCAGGGTCAGTGAGCCGTCGCCGTCGTAATCGTCAAATCGGAGGAGGTCACCAGGTGAGCAGCCCAGCAGGTCCCCATCTAGGTCCTGGTCCTTTGGCACATGCTGTGGGGTGAGGAGGGGCACGAGGCCAGAGCACAGAGTGAGTCCAGAGTTGAGGGCTTTGCTGGGAGATGACCCAGGCCCAGTGGCGACTCCTGGGATGCCCGGAGGGTCTCAGGTAGCATGCACAGCTCTCGGTTTGTCTTTTACAACCCCTTGTCTTTTAGATGAGAAAACTGAGGCTCAGAGAGGGAAAGTGATTGCCTCAAGGTCACACAGCAGTTAGAGTCTAGGCCAGAGCTCAGTGCCTTAGTAGGGGGCAGAAAGACCCAGATGGTCTGACATGGGAAGGGCCCTTGAAACCACCTGGTCTGTCCCTCTGCGCTGTAGCTGGGGCAACCAAGGACAGAAGGGACCCGGGGAAATGGTGGCTGAGCTCACTGTGGCCACTCTGTTTTGTCAATGCTCCATCCAGAACCTGCCGGCCAGGCGACAGCACACCCTCAGGAGGCGCAGGTGCCATTCTGCTGACTGAGGCCCGAGCCCCAGCCCTGCCTGCCTGCCTGCCCTGTCCTGCCAGCAACGCACACGGCTGCCCTACGGATTCTGGCACAGGGGCTGCAGGGGGGCCCTCATGAGCTTCTCTGGTCACAGACTGGGCCACAGGGCGCTGGGCTTCCCCAGTGTGACCATCCAGAGGCCAGTGGGAACTTGGCACTGAAATTCCAGGCTCCTGCACTGAGCTGGCGCTGGCGGCCGGAGGGCCTGGAACAGGTGCCGCAAGCAGCACGCTAAGGACAACTCAGGAGGAAGGGACGATTTAGTTTTATTTTGCGGGGTGGGGCGGAAGGGGAGAGGGGCAGAGGCATCTTCTCTTTGTTTAACGTTCTCAGTTTGCCTGCTGTATTAAAGGCAATTTAATGTGATAATGTTAAAAAAATGACCCTTCACCCGGCCAGGAAGGGTGCTCGATAAAAGGGAGATCAGCCGTAACGCTGAGATCAATCTTCCCCAGATGGAAATTCCCCTTTGCCTATTTCTGCATTGGAAATTGATGAACTTTGCGTGGGGCTCAGAGCTCTCCCCGCCTCTGCGTCAGTGTCAGGGAAAGGCCCATTCTCGCTGGGCTCTGCCTGGCAGATTTATGAAATGGACTTTAAGTGTATTAAATTTTAAAGAGGAAATCAGAGTCCAATTACCACGCCAGTTAATGGCTTTGGCTGCCTCGAGCCACGTCTCTGCCCCAGGGGAGCAACACGCCCAGGATGGCTCTGTCTACCTGCGCCTACCTGGGAGCCACGTGGGCCTGGTGCCGAGAGCTCACACCTCTGCCCGTGTTTCTCCCTGACCAGCCTGCAGCAGGGGAACTGTCAGGAGTCTCTTTCAACAGGCAGCCGTGACTAACAGAACCAGGGCTGCTCCGGTCGCCTGGGGATGCCTGGCCCTGCCCCTTGCTGGGGTCTCCGTCAGAGCTGTGGGCTGTGCTGATGGAGCTGGTGACATGCTGGCAGGGCCGGGCAGCAGGCCTCCTTTGCTGCACTATCTGCACATGCAGCCCAAGTCTGGGGGAGCAGAGTGAGCTCCCTGGAATCAGGCTTGGGACAGGCTGGTGTGGAGGTCCCTGAGCCTGGGAGCCTGTGCTTCCGACCTTGGGCTGGCTGCTCCTTTCTTGGGTTTTGTGAGTACCTGCTGTCTCCACAGACCTCAAGAGACTATGTGGAACCTTCTGGTGGGAGCCATTCACCCCAAGGGAGCCCCTGGGGCCAGGAGGAGAGCAGGTGTGTGCCCGGCAGCTCTCTGGGGCTGCATCTCAGTTTACTGTGGCTGGGTAGTGAACACAGCTCAGGCCAGTGGCTTGATTCCTTCGAGCCTCAGTTTCCTCGATTGCATAGGTCTGTGACGTGAGATGACAAAGTCTCTCCCTGACAGCAGAGGGTGGCTGAGATGTTTTAGAAGGAAATAATGGCAAAGATGATAATGATGACAACAGTGGCCACTGCCATTGCTGAGGACAGAGCCCGCGCCAGGCACCTGGCCTGAGCTCGCTGAGCCCTCCTGTGGACACTGCGAGGCTCATAGATGAGAAATGGAGGTGCAGGGAAGGGAGGGCATCCCCCAGAGTTCACTGGCGGGGCCCAGCCACTGGGCCATAAGGACCCCGCAGGCGCCCCCGCAGGTGGCAGAGGCTGTGGCCCCAGGGAAGGAAGCTCAGCTCTCCCTGCCTTTGACACCACAGACACTAACTACCCTTGCACCACCGTGTGGACCAAGGGTGTGCATGGGATGGGGAGGCAGGCCAACCACAGGGCCCAAGGCCAAGGTTTTCCCAAACAGGAGGTGGGCGTGGGAGTGCACACAGAACTTCCTACAAGAAACAGGCTGGGTTTGGGCTGCTGGCATTTGGATATCCAGGGCTGGTGTCATCTCATGGCAGAGGCCTTGGGGATGCCCAGCGTGCAGCTCCACGGATGTTTGCTGGAAGCCAGTGCTGCTCCCCTGACCCTTCCTGCTGGGGAAAGCCCTGGGATGGATGAAGGCAGCATCAGGGACCAGCCCCTTTGAGGGGGCTGCGTCTCTATTTGTGCAGAGTGGCTGGGAGAGGCTGGCGGGAAGAAGTAAGGAACACTGTTTGCAGGATGTTCTGAGGCCGGGAGTACCTCGGGCCTCCTTGGCCAGGACCGTTACAAACGACTGTCCTAACATGGGCTCCCACGTGGTCCTCAGTGTCCCTGCTGCCCACAGGGCCGCTGTCCCTGAGCCCGTACCCACCTGGGCCAGTTCAGAGCCGCTGAGGTGGCCGTTGCTGTCTGTGTCCAGGTCCTGAAACAGAGACTCCACCAGGTGGCGCTGCTGGGAGGCAGGGTCATGGCTGCTGTCCTGCAGTGGCTGCCGTCGGGTATGGAGTGCTACAAGCACGTTCTTCAGATGGGTGTAGCCGGCCATGGTGCACGTGTCCCCTGGAAGAGAGGAGGAGGCGACTGCAGCGAGACTCAGTCCTTGGTCCTCAGAGAGGGCTCACTCATGAACAGCCCCGGGCGGCGTGGCCCTTGCTGGTCCGTCTGCCCAGCAACCCATCCCACAGATGCTCACGGAGCACGCAATGCGTGCCGCACCTGGTGCTGATGCGCGGCTCTGTCTGGCCCACGGCATTTGCCGAGCACCGGCTGAGAGCCAGAGCCGAGTGGGCAGCAGCCAGAGGGGGACGGCCTCAGTGGAGCTGGCCCCGCTCCGCTCTGTAATAGTTTGCGCTTGTCTTAATCCTACCTTACAGGCTGCTTTTGGATCCTTAGCCTCAGAGATTAGAGAGCTTTAGTTAACAGGACTATTAAGCCCTGCTTAAGGTAATTAGGGACACTCCCAGAGCTGGATGACTTCAAAACAAACACGTGTACACAAGTGTGCAGCCAAGAGGCAAAGGAGGCTGTGCTCATGCCACGACGCTCAGGCCCCTGTGCTCGCTGGGGGGCGAGAGTTTGGCAGCTGAGGCCAGCGACGCACCGTGACGTCACTCCTCTTGCTGGTGACGGCGCTGGACACGTGCACCGGCGAGGCTTCTGTGGGACGTCAGCTGAGCAGGGCAGGCCCTGGAGGATGCAGAACTTCCTGTGCTGGCTTGGCTGAGCCCTGGACTGCGCGTGTGGGCCCCTGCCATCCATTCTGGGGTGAAGGCCAATGACCGGGCTGCTGGGCATGGATTATGTGGGGCCCGGGGCTCCTCCCCTTACTTCCAAGGGCAGTCTCTAGGGCCCCAGGCAAGGCTTGTGTGTGCGCAGACAACAGAGTGGTGCTGCGGGGCATGGGCTTTGAGGCCCCCCCGGGCTGGAGCCCCAGCCTGCAGCCTGCATAGCCTTGGTCCTGGGGTCTCGGTGATCTTATCTACAAAGTGGGGATAAGCAGATTAAATAAGATACACTCAGAAAGGGCTTTGGCTGGCTTGGTCCAAGTCAGGGCTCACAGAATGACAGCTGCCCCTCCCTCCACCGTATCCTCTGAAGGGCAGCAGTCTGGGGGCTGCTGGGCTGTGCGTGTGTCTCTCCTCCTGCCTCCCTCACCAGATGAGCCTGGATGCCCAACCTCTTCCTCTTGTACTTGCTCATGTTTCTCGATTTTCTGCCAATCTGGGGTCGATTGATTCCTGTCAGAAACAGATGCCCATGACCGTTTCCTTCTGCATGTTTATTTAGGAAGAAATCAATTGCCGTGTTCAATACAACCAGATCCATTTGCTCTTTGGGAGGCTCCCTGCTCTGACAAGATCGGCGCTCTCCCACCCCTCGCCTGTGCCCGGCTGGGTGTCCGTCCCTGGGAGACCCCGGGACCACCCCCTAGCCAGCCCGGGTCTCCAGCCTGCAGAGCTGCTTGGAGTTGAACACAGAGGTCTCAGCCCACTGCAGAACTACTCCCGCCGAGGCAAGGAGCCACTGCCAGGTGCCTTCTTCCCGGGCCTGATCAGAGGTTGGTTTTGGCAAAGAAGAGGAAGAGTCTTGCTCACATCTGTCCCCCACCCACCAAGCCAGAGTGATGCCCAGACCTGGGACACGGACAGAACCGGGCTGCTGGGGTGCCATGTGGACCCCACTGGCTGTCCTAGGGGTGGGCAACAGCCGGCAGACAGCATGGCCATGGGATGCTCTCCCCAGGAGTGCTAGTGGCCATCGGCTCCTTGGGATATGCCCAGGCCCGGGCAGAGACGGGTCACCCCTGCCTATCCCCCCACCTTCCTCCTCACTGTGGTGGGCTCAAAGCTCCTCTGAGCTTCCCAGGCACTTACCACGCCTCCAACACCAGTAACCCGGCTACACCATGGAGGTGGCTCCTGCCGAGCTGTGTGTGTGTGTGTAGGGGGCACTGTGACAGCTTCCGCAGGCTCTGTCCCTCCCAGCACGTCCTACAGCGCCCTGGGATGCACAGGTTGCCAGCATCTCCAGCCTGCAGCTGCCCTGTCAGCAAGGTGGGAACTTGTCTGGAAGCCAATCTGGGGCCAACGGTGAGTGCCCTCCCCAGCGTCCCGTGTCCAGGGTCAGTGTCCCCGCTGCCAGCTTCCATCTGCAAACCACGCGCCTGATGCTGGGCAGGCAGTGCCACTCACACCCTAACACAGGCTCAACCTCCTCTGCCCCCCTCCTTCCCCAAGGCCTCCAGTGCAGGCTCTGCTGGCCTCTGGGGTGCAGAGACGGATGGAAGGGCCCCAGCCCCTCTTCATCCCAGGAGCAGCTGCCAGAGCTCTTGCCTGCACTCACGACATGACGCCGCTACCCCGCATCACTGTGCTCCACAGCACTCCACAGCGGCCCCACAGCACTGGGCAAGAGTCGTGGACACAGAGCCCAGCCAACCTGAGGGGTTCCTGCACCCATGGACAGGACCACTCCCCAAACCCTAACTCTCTTTCTGGAAGCCTTCCATTGCCTCATGGCCAGCCAAGACAGCCCTGCTGTGGCTCCCTGTCCTCGCCCCTCTTTGGGGAAGGGGACTGCCAGCCTTCCCTGTTCTATTCGGAAAGCTGTAGCTCCCAGCTCGGCCTCTAAGGGGAGCTGGCCTGTCCCGAGGCAGGCAGTGGACACCCCAGAATGGGGGTCCTGACAGGGTATGTAGGGGTGATGGTGTACACCATTTTCCCCTTCACAGTGGCCTCGGGCTCCGGGCGGTCAGGGAGGAGAGGCTCAGCCGTGGGGAGCCCGGGAGCCCTGCGGTTGGTCAGACCTGGTCTGGAGCGAAGGCTCCCACCTGCTTCCAGCTGTAAACTCTGCCCTTTCCGTGATGGAGCGTGTGCCCATCAGCGCACCCAGGAGTCCAAAGCACGAGAAAACGAAGCTGCCGCGACTCACCTCCCGAGACTACTGCCGGCACTGCACCGGCCAGAGGCTCCGCTGGCGCCCATGCAAGGCCAGGCAGGGCCTGGAGGGAGGCCTATGAGCTCTTTCCAGCCAGCGTCCTAGCTGCGTCTCATCTGCCCCTGGTCCTGCTCACCTTCCACTGCATCTGGGCAGGGGGTGTCGACACGCACAGCGCAGACTTTCTCACCTGCATGCAGGCCTTTTAGCCCTGCTCTCCACCGTGCAGGCCACACGGCGGGTGGCGACAGTGGGCGTATGGAGGCGAGCCCCAGGGCCCTCACATCTAACCACACCCCCACCCACATGCTCCTTCCCTGGCTGCCAGGCTCACTTATGTACTTTATCTTGGCCACTGCAGGACCACCCCCAGTCCACATGAGCACCCTGCCTCCTGCACCCCTGTGTGTCCTGGCCCTGACTGTGGTGGCCTGGGTCCCAGCGAGGGGGGCCTCCATCTCTCTGGCCCATGGCAGGGCAGGCCCAGTTTCTCCTTGGGCCTCAGGACACTGCGCTCCTTCCGCAGGGAGGTCCCAGGAGGGTGTGCAGCAGAGACCTGGTACCCACGCACTCCCCCCTGGTGGCCTGTGGGAGCTGATCAAGACATTTAGAGTGTCATGGCCGTCCTCACCCAGGAGGCCTAGCCGAGCCTAGGGTGGGAGAGACTCCGACACTGACTGGCGCGGGGGTGGCGTGACTTCCAGGGCGAAGGCAGGACACTCCCATGCAACCCTGAGCTCTGAGCCTTGAGCAAGGCTCACTGGGGCTGCTGCGTGGGGACCTGAGGGGGCTGTTTCCCTAGTGGGCAGGGCTGACACACAGTCCCTGGAAGGGCATCTGTGTGTTGCTGCTGCATCCCGCTGGTTTCCTGGTAAAGAGAAACTTGTCTTTTTTTGTGACCCACACCAGGTCAAGCCTTATGGGGAGATCCGAGAATGGCAGCACTGCCCTTTGACGGCTGTAACTGCTCTGAACACAGCGGGCTCCAGCCTGCCCTGGGGCCTCTCCTCGTGTGCTGCTCCCCTTTCTTCGGGCCAGGCTCAGCCTCCCCTGTGGGGATGCCCCTCGTCCAGCACTGCACACATGTGGTCACCCTCCTCGCTCAGGCTCCCTCTCTAGCTGTTCCGTCTGAGGCTGGCCCCATCTCAGTCTGGGCTCCCCATGGCAGCCCCCGAGGAGAAAGCTTGGAGCGAGCAGCATGAACAGAGAAGTCCCTGGGGAGCAGAGGAAGGATCGGGAGAGAGGCTGGGATGGGAGAAAGGCCACAAATAGGAGTGGTCACCACCGTGGGCAGCTGGGGCGCAAGCCCTCCCGGGGCCTGCAGAGATGGGGAGGGGACACTGGGGAAGTCTCCTCTGGAGATGTGAGGAAGTGGGGTGTTTTCCTCTACCCCTCCCGGCTGAGGCTGGTCCTGGGGAGCAGCCCACCCCCATCTAGCACCTCTGAACTCCAGTGAGGACCAAGTGCACATCTCAAGCAGTGGTGCCCTCTGGCTGGAGATGCAGGTGCCCGGGACCGGGTGCTGCTGCCAGAGTGATGGGAGACTGTGCAGCAAAGCTGCCCATGAGCTCTCAGCTTAACCAAGAACTGCACAGATGTCCTCTCCACCTGTTCAATCCCCTCTACGAGAGCCCCGCAAGGTGCCAGCAGGTGGCCACTATAACTTACTCAGTTACTGTGGCTGAGAGACACAGCTTCACAGAGTGCCCAGAATGGCCCTGCCTGGCGACTCCAGGTGGACACAGACCTTGACAGAGGCTGCTATTATCTGCCAGATACCAACAGCACTGATGACACCCATGGCAAGGCTGGACAGAGCACTGGACAGGGAGCCAGGAGAACACCTGGTTTTGGTGGTGAGACCCCAGGAGAGGCACCCTCCCCTGCCCTTCCTGCCTCCTTACCATCTCAGGGGGCATGGCACAAGAGGAAGCGCGAGAGGACTCTGCAAGGGTGGTCAGAGCTGGGGCTCCTCTGCCTCTGTCCCCTGAGGCAGGGAGGTGAGTCGCTCAGTGTGTAGGGACCACAGAGGAGCGTGCAAGTCCTGGGTTACCTCCCTCTCTCCCGGCCACCGGTTCTGGGGCCTCTCAGGGAGGAGGCTGCGTGTCCTGCTCAGCCTGACA